TCCCTTCTGGAGGGAGAAAAAAAAAATAAAAAAGAAAATAAAAAAGTATTACTTTTCCTTCAAAGAGGAACTACAGCCATGACTGAGAGGATAATTTGTTCCACAATGCACTTACTCTGCAACGGACAGTCTTCTGAATGACTCCAGCACGATTCATGTCTTCATACGCTACTTTCATGTCTTCACTGAATGAGCTGGGCATTTACTTCACAGTGTCACTATCGTGCTACAAAAACACTCCTCTGACAAGTAACAGTTCAGCCCTCGCATTTTTCTTAGGAACTACTTCTTTGAAAAGAAGAGAGAAAACAAAGTAATACTTGATAGTACCATGCACAAGCCCAAGGAGAACAGAGCTTGGTTTTATTTCCCCAGCAGTATTTCTGGTCAGAGAAGCTTTATATCCTGGTAAATAAATCTGGCCAGCTATGAGGAGATGTAAGATGACTTAGAACTGCAGATTGTGGTGGTAATACCACTCAAAACTCTTTTATATTAGAACAAAAAAAAAAACCAACAAAAGACTCCCAGGACACCATGCTTCAGGAACAGGGATGCTGAGGAACAACCTAATGTCGGTATGTATGTCCGCATGCTTCAGCTGTACCAATTTTGGTTGAAGTCATGCTAATCCACAACCCTCATACTGTGGGGCCAAAACTCCCCATCAGACAGCGAGGGCTTGGTGCCCCAAACTCTGCAAGAACACTGGCCCTTGAGATTACAGAGAAGGACATAGGGAAGAGCTTTCCCATCTCCTCCTCCCTTTACACTATCAGTGGAAGTCTTGAGAGCTCCCTACACACAAACCCCTAGCACTGCAATGAAGCCCAGTTGAGGCAAGCACCTTCACCTCACTGATAAACTGAGAATTCGTAACATTCATCCTTTACCATTTTTAAACGGTCTCCTAGCTGCTCTTTCAAGCACTCTTTCATTAAAAGCAGGTTATGGTAAGAAAAACCATCACCCCAGTATCTAACTCCTAGCGATCCGAACCTCCAGACATGGACAAGCACCACATTGCCCCAGGTCCTGCATACCCAAAATAGCAAATGAGTGCACACAGACAAGTGCAGACAAAATGGGACAAAAGTGTATTGGCAGTATAAACTTTATGTGGGACCCAGTATGTTTTACAGGAGACAATATTATGATCGGATACTAAGTTTAAGTATCTTTAAGACTAATTAAGTCAAAAAGAAATACTAAGAGAAAAACAAAGGAAGGAGTCATCTGTGAAGAGATAAAAGAAACTTTTCAATTACAACACAGTTAAATAAAGGGCATAAAACTAGGGTTATTTGTGTGACCACACAGGATAACAAAACTAAACCAATGTTAGAGCTAGACAACTCACAGATAGGATATCAGAATTAGATAGATCTGTTTACATTCAGTTTTCAAAACTTAACATCTGAACTGTCAGCAATATTTATCTGTAGCAGGCTGGCCACCTGCTACTATGTTAGAACACTGTATCGACACCTACTTCCTTGCTAAGTTAAAAAAGCGTACGTGTACATACACACATATTTCAATAACGAACCATGGACACTGCCATTCTCCATATTTTTCTTTTGCTACATTCTATGTTTCATAATTTCACCTGTTTTAAGAGGCAGCTGTTCAAAGTACATGATTTTTTTTGAGGTAGGTTTCTTGATCTCTTCTTCATTCCCAACTTGCACAGGGTCAATATGACCAAGTAAAGGCAGTCACTGCAGAAACTCAGGTCGCACTGCCAAGTACCGAGGGTGGAACCTTCAAGGGGAGACCACACCACCTGTCATCCAATACTGCAACTTGTTTTTTTTTCCAGATGCTTCACTAATTCATGGCACTCAGAGCCAGTTAACCAAAGACCTTCAACTCATAACTTACCACTTCATACATTTTCTACTCTCTATTCAGTAAAATCCTGCAAGAGCAATTCAGGAGCCCCTGACAATTCTCAGAAGTGGCAAAGCTGAGAGAACTGCAGGAAGAGACAAGAATGGCTACTTTGCCTTTCCCTTCACTACTTCTGTTGTGAAGCAGAAAAATCTGTAAGAACAGATAGGCTGTGATACTGTAACTCGGGGGAAAATACAAGGTGCAGCTACACTATATAAATCAGTCACACAAGCAGTCAGAAGTACTCTTCAAGTGAGTGTATCTACCCCTGAAGCACTGACATGCAGCCAGGGCCAGACGTACCACCATGAGATCCCCTTCCCATCTTCTCTTAACTCACAACAGCTTGTAAGTAGAAGCAACAACAGCCTTTCTTTATTACCACACTCTAAGACTGAAAACCCACAGTGACTGCACTGTAGGCATTCAGTGAAACTATTTAATTCTTCATGCTTTCTAAACCACACCAAATAAAAAACACTAACGGACAAATTTTTATTAGTGTCATCAGGTATATTAAACCCTATTCTGTACTATAAAAGCACCAGAACGTTGGCTAGGCATCAAGGACACTCAATTCAGCAACAAAGATACCAGGTCTAAACACACATGCATTGTGTTTTGTAAGGAAGATGAGAAACACATGGGCAACAGCCGTAACATGCACCATCTACACACTTGGGAAAGAATTTGTCAATACGAAAAGGAAGGAAGTGTTTGCTTTCACTAGCCATGATGACAGATTATATTCATCCCTTCTGATTCCATGGAAACTATGAATTAGTTGAAGGATCGGATTTGACACGAGTGAGCACTCATGTTACACTTTGGTTCTCTACGACAGCTATTCATCAGAAACTTGCCGTCTGCTGTACAGCAGAACACTGCATTACGCTTCAGATTCAGCAGAGATGTTTTCTGATTCAGCAATCTAAAAAAACTGAGGTTTGCACACTGAACAAATTATAGGTAAGAAGTATCCTATTTGAGATTCAAACGCCCCAGTATCTGAAAGTGTTAAGACATAGAATAAAACCTGAACAGTGTTCAGATTTGAAGGCTGTCCAGACGTTTTTGCAGTCATTTCTGCATCAGCCATATGACTCGAGAAGCTCTGAAGAAACAAACTAAGCAGAGATGTCACATGCACAAGAACTAAAAGCGTTACTGTTGACAAAGTTGGATTTATCCCATATAGGTAGAATTACGACCAATACATAACGTTCAACTCCAAAAATTTAAAGTTACCTCAAAACCCCCAGTTTTTACTTCTGGTTTAAAAATTCCATAGGAAAAAAAACAAACCCCACAACCCAAACTTAAGAGATCCATTCCTTTAGCATGGTAGAAAACTGATCAGCCTTTCTTGCTGAGCAGCTCACTCAGGTGAAAAATGTAAGAGGTCCCATGAGCCACAGAATTTCACACGCACTGCAAGTTAAACAGAACACCTCGTGCTCTGTCACTCGAGATCTGTTCCCTAGCGCGCACACGTACCCATCCTGGGGGGGTGGGGGGTGTGCACTGCCTACAGAAGAGTCTTGACCACTGTGGGAACCACTTCCAAAATTCAGCAGTTTCAAAGACGTATCCAATGCGAAAGACACCCTCCCTGCCCCGAGAATGCCTTAAACACTTGGTGCCCTCAGTTTAGCAAGATTTACTGCTACAGTTCATCTCTGTGTATGTGAAAGGTAGGGTGCTTCTGCCTTCAAAAATTTAGTAGGCAACTAAACTGAACATTATACACAGTAAGCATCTTAGTATTTTATTCGTTGCATCTTTTATACAGAATAAGCTTCACTGATATTTAATTCACTGCAGTATTCTGCTGATGTAGCAACAAAAGATTACATTATAAACAAAGAACAAAATTTTGACTTCAAAATTTTTTATATATGTGTAATTTTTTCAGTTGACAAACAGCATCACAATTTCTGAAAAAAACTGAAATAAGCACGTAAGCTAAGGCCATTTTTTTTTAATCTCCAATTGATAGTTTTTCTATATTTACCATAAATATTGGAAACTAAACTCCAGCAGCTAAAAATAACCATGTCTATAATTCCCTAGCAACCAGGATTCAAATAACGGAGAAAACAAACAACAAAAAAGTTTCTTTTCACTTCAGTTGACATCTGTGATCTATTTACACTATATGTTAAAATTCTGCAAGATCATGGAGACGAAGGAATTTTGAAACAACCTGTTCAGCATCACTTAAAATGGCACTTTTGTAACTCATGTCTGGGATTTTAAAATTGCTGAAACATTGAGAGACAACACACCGCAGTATGTCTATACCAATATTACATGAAAAAGACAAACTACTCCATAAAGTGTCACTGAGATGCTCAACCAAAAATAATATACATTTGTCTCTTACCAAGATAGATATTACTGTAAAAATGCTCACATTAAAAAATATAGTTATTATTGTTTAGATTTTCATTAAAACTAGAAGGGACTACATGAGCCAAAGTATGAGGAATTCATATATGACATGCTTCCTCATTTTATAGCGCTAATAAAAATAGAGAAAGCTCTATTATAAATCTTTAATAACGATGGTATGATTTCCCAGTATTATGTGGGTGTATGTGCATATGAGTCTGTGCAGACGTGCTTGTGTACTTAAAACACACAAACACATCAAAAAAACACCAAAGTGTACATATTACACATACACACACATCCACGTTCCATAACGCAAACAGTACGCAGGGACTCTTCCATGTGACAATCGAGTGCCACATGCCGTGCTTCCTTATTATTTCTCTTTTTATGTTTTACCCAGTAAATGTAGTAACACTTTCATATTTGGCCAAGTCTAAGTGTTAAGATTTTTAAAAACCATGAAATGATTTAGCCATAACATCATACACAAGAAATGAACAATACTGCAAATACTGCTGAGCACATGAAGTTCAACATGAAATTTTGTCATGAAATGGAATGTAAAATATCCTAAAAGTTAGTATTCAAAAATTAGTTAAATATTATGGCAAACAACTTGGAATCTGTAGAAAGTTTAAAATGTAATTCACATTACAAAGACTGGAGATACTTTATAGATAGAACTTTTAAATATGGATATGACTGGCATTTATTTTTAAGCTTACTTCTATTAGAAATAGACTTGTTTCCTGTACAGGCGATGCTTTGTCTATACCATATACAGTAGAAAAATAAATTCTTTAGCAACCTAGAAATAGTTTATAAAACTCTTGAAGTTTCATTTTCTTTGCTAAACATGCGAAGATTAGACTGACAACTATAAATAAAAGCTATATAGACAACAGGTAAAGTAGAACAAGTTAAAGAATACTACAATTTACAGGACAGACTTTATTGTACTATTAATTCCTGTGTGCTTTGCAATAGGAATACGGTTGACTTTTCTTTTTTGTTTATGTTTTCTTAGAAAAGATAATTACTTGCAAGAATATAACACAATATCAAGATAATTTATAATATACATGTACTTCAAACAGCAGCCGGGTTTATGGTATCATAGTAATCTAGAATGATAATCCAAGTCATAATTAGAAGTACAATACCTAGGACATAAGTGGGAAAGGCAATTTTTATTTGGGGAAAATGGAGCAAATCAAACTCTTAAAAGCCTCAATTCTCAAAATCATCTATTTACTATAATACATACAAGACGATCTTAAATCTTGTTATAAGTGAAGATTACAACAATGACCATCATAAAGCTTTTTTTTGTTTGTTTTTTTAAACTACACAAAACATTCTAGCAGCTGGATGAGCCAAAACTCTTTTCTTCTTTGCAGACCTAAAAAGGTGTATTTTAAGCATGAAAGAAAAAAAGCTGCTATGAAAACTCTCACAGGTAGTGTTTATCTATGGTCTCCCCTTTGCTACAATGTGTAACCTTCTAAATTTTTTACCACTAACAAAATATTTAACCGAGATTTGTTTAAATTAAGCAGCATTCTTTTACAGCAAAATTGGTACCAATGTAAAAGTAAAATAAGTGAAAAAAAGAGATAATTTAAAAATATGGTGAAAAAAAAAATCAGTCATTTGACATTTTAGTACAACATACCACAGAAAAAAATATGAATACAAGTTTATGTGATTTTATATATACACACTCCAAAGAGGTTAATTGTCAGTACCCAAAGTATTTATTGCTATGTATTAGCAATGCATTTTTGTATATCTTTAAAGGGTCACATAAAAATAGATTTAAAGAATAGATTAATTGAAGTCCTAGATTAAAACATTGTTTGGTTTAGAGAATTTTACTACAACAAAATTCATGTTTATGTATGAAAAGTTATATAACCTTATATGAAAATGTCATGAACTATTTTCTAAACACTACATGTATTCCCAAGTGGGAAAAATTAAAATATCTAAAATATATTAGATTAAGTTTACAAGACCATCAATGATCTTTTAAACATGCAGCTGTTTACAGAATTAACAGTTTTACAAAATGTTTAGTTCGGTAATGGAACATAAAGAAATAAGTAGGCAACATCAAAATTTTTGTACAATATCTGAAACTCACTTTTACAACAAGCATGTCCTTGGTATTGTGCTGTAAGAAATAATAAGCAAATTCACCCACCCTTAACAAACTGTCCACAGGTTTACTTACAAGTAAAGATGGATGGTGAGGGATTGTAAAATTCTCAACAGTGCATTTTGCATTCTTCCATAACCCATCCTAAGCATACCATCACGTAAGTAGCCAGGAGATTACAAAATAAACTATAGCTGGGCTTTAATTGTTTACACAGAATGCTTGAATGTGAATAAAATTGCCAAAAAATAGCATGTTAAATAACAAAAACAGCCATAAAGCAGGCTGTAAGCATTGAATGTTTCATAAACGTAATTTTTTAAATCATTAAATTTCTATAGAAAAATTTTATTCACAATATATTGTGACAAACCGTCACAGGAATGATATAGTGATTGCAATAAGGTATCATGCAGCAGCAGCTTTGTACTTTATAGCTATTTTTGCTTTTAAAAATTAAACCTCTCCAGTCATGCTTATCACACAGTTTTTATCTGCAGTGTGTACAAATGAGGAACACAGTACGGGATCTAACAAAAAGATGTCCAATCAGCTGGATGGGAATTATTTTTCATAAATATGAAGTACATTACTGTATCCTGAAACATGCATGTCTATAGCTTGTCTTTACTGTCCAGTGCCAGGCTGCCTGCAATCTTCTTCTAGTTATATAATACCAAGAGGGTCTGCTGGTAACTGTGACTGTATCAGCTGAGGCTGCAGTGGTGGGGGTAACTGCAGAGGTACCATTGGTTCCACCATCTGCACTGCGCTGGAAGGCGGTGGTTGACATGCCACTGGGTTAGGTGCTTCTACAATCTCTCCGTTGTAAAAGAAAAATTGACACTGTTGAATGAAGGTCTCTATAACCGACTGGTGGATTTTGGTGGTAGAAAGAAACTCTCTGTTTTCAAAATCAGGTCTCATCAAAGTAGGCCAGAAACAAATTGATAAGTTATCAGCAGTCATAAAGTTGGTTTTATATTGCTGACTAACCCTGAAATGAGAACGACAGGCACAGAATGAATTAAATCCGGTATGCAATCGACTACACATATTTTCATAGCTCTCTAACTGTAAGCATTATTATTAAACAACCTCAAGATTTTTGTTACTTTCCTCCAGCTATCCACTAAAACAATTGTTCTTGGGTTTTTTAAGCAGTTATGCAGAAGAAAATTTAGAAATCATGACCTTCCCAGATTTGGATAGCTAACAAATATAAATCTGATTAAACTCTTAATCAAGAACGAAATTCAACATTCCACCGACATTTTGAAGTGACAATAATAAACAAACTTCAAATTTCTCAACTAGCTACAGGATTTCACGAAACTAAAATCTCACCCATTAAAACGCCTAGAAGAAAAATAACAGAAATAGCTTCTTACTGTAGGACAGTCATATATTAACTAGCATCTATGGCACTTGAAGAAAAAGGCATCACATTAGATCACATGCTAAAAACACAAACCCCAAAAAATCAAGTGTCGATTAAAGCACACCTCTGCAGGTTTTTTCACAGTGGCCAGGAACAGAATTTGGCCAAGCTGTAAAGAACATCATCAGTGGAAATTTCACTAATATCAACACATTAATTTTGTTTTATTTTGTAATGTATAATGCAAAGGTTTCCAGCTGGGTTTCTCTTCCTAGAAGTTTCCTGCTTTTAAGCAGGAGCAGAAGCAGGTTCTTCACTTGTGATCTAAATTCCTTATTACAATACTATCACAAGGGAAAAAAACAACCAACAACAAAAACAAGCAAAACAAATCAAACAAACAAACAAACCAACCACACACTACTTTTCATAGTAATAGGCTAGAAAGAGCCAGCATATTTTGTCTTCTAAAAATACTCTGCTTTCTAAAATAACATCACAATTTTATCTAGAAGTAATTACTGAGATACACATGAAAAATCACATGTTAATAAATCTGACAAACACCTAAGATATTCATTTAGCCGGAAACATGCAATTCCTGTATTACAGGGGACAGCACAAAGGTAACTGAGCTACAGTTGTCCTGCAGAAATAGATAAAAAATAAAACTTCAGCAACTTGTCAGCTACAATTTTGATGATTAACAAGAACAGACTGCAAGAGTTTCTTACAGCTGGCTGTAGTCCATAGATCCAAAAGCTGTGAAAACCATAGTAAACACTAGAATTAATGCTATAAGAAAATATTTTCACTCATTTACAATGCATGTATAGTGGTTAACTATAAAGGGTAGACTTGCATTTTAGCATGTGCATTACTTATTCCAAACAGTGTGAGGGTACACAAACACTGCCTCTCAATCTGTTTTGAGTAAGTTTGGTCCAAATGATACTTGGATACTATTTCTGAGTGACAGTAATATTCATAATCTCTTTGCTAAAAGAACTACATTTTAACTTCATTTAAGGATTAAAGAACCCAACAATATAAATTTAAGCTTCCATTTTGCTTAGCATTTTTATTAAAGAGTTTTCTTGCTATGCTGAATTCTTCTGTGTGTAAACTCCTCCTAGACTATACTCTGGAGACAGAATAGCGAGTGAGACTTACGAAGAATTAAATAAATTTCAAGTGTAAGATATGGTGACAGGACAATGAATCTATCAGGGTTTTGAATCAGAACTGTCTGTACCTTTTCCCTAAAATGAGTACAATGAAAACCACCAAAAACGGATTTCAAACTCTACAACAGTCTTTCATTACAGAACAAACTACAACAAGTTAAGTCATAAAACCAGCAAAAAAAACCCACCTGCTATGTAAAAAACCTGAAATAAAAGCCCCATCATCTATTTTGCAGATTGCTTTTTTTCCCTGTAATTTTTCCTCTGAATTTAAAAATCTTTCAAGGGGCTTCTTCAGTTGCACAGGCTAAAATGTATACCCTCTGACATCCTTAAGCACCTCTAGGATTTGGTTACGTGTTTTGTCTTACGCACCTTTTCTTCCCCCTTGTCATGACTTCACTGCTTGCTGCCTCTCTCATATTGTTTCTTAAATCTAACATGATCTAGCTGTAGACTGCCACTGCTGTGGACAACAGGTGAAGCTTCATTCTTCCTCTCTTCCTTTTCCCTCTCTGCTAACTTTCTGGCATCAGTCCACAGGGTGGCCCAGGGTGTCTGAGATCAGCCAGTGTATTCTACAGAAAATTACATTTCCCCCATTTCTGTTTTCCTTTATAACATGCTGCAGCTGCATAATCATTAGATCCAACAAATGAAGCAGTGGGAACCTCTGGCTAGAAGCGAGCAGAGAGCAGCATTATACCTATTTCCCAGCTGCAGCTCACAACTAGATTAAACATAACAACCAACCAACTTTATTCTCTCCTGTGTTTCAAAACTACCTCTGTCCTTTCTAAGGGTAAACAATAACCTACCAACCTGTATGCCATATCCTACCAAATCTCCCCAAACTACTTCAGAACATTCTTGTAAGTGCTTAGCAAATGTCTAGTCACCTTCTTTTACATTCACTCAAAATGAAAAATGAAGAGTGTTTCTCTTGATCCTGCCACCTTCCTCCACCACAAACCCTTCAGGAACTTCAGGCTGTAAACCCGCTCTATGATCAGACTTTAAAAGCTGTACACCTACACTCTCCCAGACTTCAGAAGCATATTACGCCATATTAGCCCTTATCAATAAAGGGACTCACTATCAAAGAGCAAACATAAACCACAACCAATAGATAAAATGTCAATCCAACACCACCCTGTTTCAACTCCATCTTTAAAAATCACTTCTGCTTAAGTTAATCAACCATAATTAGATTGCTAGTATGCTCTGAAAGGTGCTTATCACACTACAGAAAAATTCACCTCACTGTTGCTATTTATTATATTCTCATGGTTATTGGTGTCTTGTATTTCAATAGCAAACTCACCTGGATAGTACTTGTACTTTTTGTTTCAGTAACCAAGTCCTATGCTTATGGACACACTGAAATAATATCAATTACCAACAACTATTAACTATACAACAATACCACACTCCTTACTCTAATGACGTATGACTTAAAAACAAAGCATTTAAAACATCAGTCTGCCACGAGAACTTTTCCATCACGTAGAAGAGTATTTCACCTCATTTAACGAACAATTAATTTGATGAACATTTCCATTTTAATTATATACTAGCAGTATATAATTAAAGCAGCACTACAGAGAAGGACCTGAAAGTCCTGGTGGACAGTAAATTGAACATGAGCCAGCAACATGCCCCTGTGGCAGAGAAGGCCAATGGCATCCTAGGTTGCATTAGGAGTGCTGCCAGCAGGTCTAGGGAGGTGATTTTTCCTCTACTCAGCACTGCAAAGGCCACATCTGGAGTACAGGGTCCAGCTCTGGGTTCTCCAGCACAACAGACACATGGACGTACTGAAGTGAGCCCAATGAAGGGACACAAAGATCATTAAGAAACTGAGGACCTCTCAAATGAGAAAAGGCTGTGAAAGTTGGGAGTGTCTGGTCTGGGAAAGCTCAGGGGAAGTCTTATCATTGGTTTTAAATAACGGATCGGAGGGTGTAAAGGACATGGACTGAGACTCTTCTGAGTGGTGTCCAGTGACAGGACAAAAAGCAAGAGGCATAAGCAACCAAAGGAAATTCTGGCTGAGCATAAGAAAACACTTTTTTTTTTTACTATGAGAGTGACTGAGCACTAGCACAGGTTGCCCAGAGAGACTGTGGAGTCTCCCTCCTTGGAGATACTGAAAACCCAACTGGACACCATCCTGGGCAATCTGTTCTAGTTGACTCTGCCAAAGCAATCGGGTTGGACTAAACAATCTCCAAAGGTCCCTTTCAATCTCAACAATTCTGTGATTCTGCCTAAAAATACATTAAAAAAAAAATAATCACAAGCTAATCTTTAAGTGACAGATTACTGGATAACAAATTTTTTTGTTAAAGATAAAATTATTTTAGTTTTGGCAAAGCTTATTCTTTTTTTTTTAATAATGTAGTTAATCTCATTCAGTGGATTTCAGAGAACAATCCCATTTTAGCTGAAAAAGAAACACGAGTAAACTGGTTTTTTTCTTCCTCTTTTTTTAAGAGTGACTACTGTACATTTGTGCACATAAAGCAGCAGATTATGAAACAGTATACATCTAATATCACACTACTTTAGTAAATAGAGAAATAATTTTTAAAGAGAAACCCATTAAATTTCCATGCAAGAGACAAGATTTAGGAACCAATTTACTGTTACTTACAGCTTTGTTCTACAGCTTACTTATTGAGCAGGGTTTTCAAGTGCTACATTTTCGATTCTGATTGAAGCTACCCCTGCTCTAATGGGTTGGGGGAGGGGTGGGGGTTGGTTTTAGGCCAAACGACTTTCAGGCCCCTTGAAACCTATATTAGCCTATAATTTTAATAGCTACTTTCAGGGTAGAAGTGGAGGAAGAGATATCTTTACCTGTGGTTCATAGTTATTCTTTCCAAGCCTTTTTGTTACATACACCAATCATTCTTATAACTTTATAGTAGCAACGATGCCAGATATTTATACATCAATAAAATCTGAGAACAGAATATACAAACCTTTTCTGATCCACCTCTTAACTCCTAGTTTCATTTTCCATATTTATACTAACAGATGAGCAACGCAGCATGAAATTTTCTAATGGCCAATTCATTGTTACTAACACAATCTTTTTTGCAATTGTTACAACTTAAATAAAATTTCTGTAGAAAAATACTAAACCTGTTTAGATGCGTTATTACATATTTGAAGACATCATAGTTCACTGGGTGGAATTTCTTCACAATTTCTTTCAACTCGTGTAGCCGTTCTGTCTTATCCATGATTTCTACAGAAAGAAGTGACATTTTCTGATACATCTAGAAAGACAAACTGAATGAAGTGTTGCTAAGTCTTTTTCCTAGCATAATGCTACAGATAAGATACCCATAGAGAAATACCAAGTGAAAAAATACTTGATAAAATTCCTATCTGCATATACTATTGCATAGAATAATTTTTTTATTATAGAGGAACTATCTAAACACAAAAATGTTTTTCTGTTTAAGCAGAATTATTTATCTCTGTTTAACAGCAAAGAATCACTTAATTAGCTCACTGTTGGCTCATAGAATGATAACTAACAATGCGACAGGGTCATTTCTTGTTAGGTTTTCCTGTGCTTGCAAAATGTTATGACTTCGATGTATCTATAAGCTTAATTTGGACTGAAGTTTCACAAAGATTTAGGGGAAGTCATTCACCTGAATTTTGCATATCTTAAGCTTAGCAGTTATTCAAATCATAACAAAAATTATGAATGAGCCTGGTGCAGCTATTTTAAATATACTGTTGAAAGGAGAAAAGGGATTTTCACAGGCCCAAGGGACATTATTTATGCTTTAAAGAGGAAAAAAGCAGCATGTAAGGAAGAACTATGGAATAAAATAACTTTTTTTTAAAAAAAACCCAAACAACTAATGCTGCTGCTAAAATACTTGTGGAAAGTACCCCTAAAGTATTGTAGAACCATACATTCTGCAGAATATACTTCCATGATGACTCATTTCATCAAAAGGAATACAAGCTCACCTCTATTACTTGACTGCATTGCTAAAAAGAAATTTGAGGTACCCTAGTACCGTAGAAATAATGTTAAATATGCTCCAATATATCCCTAATAGAAAATTAAAGCAGTATTAATGGCACCGTAAAACAGTCCATTCACTTATGTTCTAAGCTACTACATGTTTTGACTGAAATGTAACTGATATACGTTTGAGAAAAAATAAAACCTAACTACATTCAACAAGCAATCTACCTGAATGGACAGCAGAAATACCACAAATGGGTATCTACAGATATCGTCCAAAACACAAAATTTCTAATGGACTGTATATTAAACAAGTCCAGGCTCAAGTCTTAGGTTTACACTCATATTTTCATGTTTTGAACACAATAGCGTTAAGAATATTGTATGTCACAGTTGTACGTTGCAAAAATGTGCAGCTGAAAAAATTGTGCTTTTCTGAAACAGTTTGCTGCCAGTACAAGACAGATACTCTTTAAAAGAAGGGAACAATTTAGTCATTTCACCTTGAAGTGTCTGAAAAATATTTGTAAGGCAAACAAAATTAAGCATTTTGTCTTACAAGGAGTTCAAAAAGAATTTGAAAAAAAACCTGAGAATTACCATAATATTCTATAGATGCGTCTGATTCCTAAAGTCTACTTTGAACATAAGACTTTATGAATTCAAGGGATTTTTCCCCTGTTAACAACACTAATACAGTTCCAAGAGCTTTCATCACATGCAGCGCTAATACAGAATGGAAAACAAGTAGATTTCTCCAAATAAGTTTTCTAGGAAAATTATATCTAGGATAAATAATAAGCCACAACTTAGAAAAAATAACATATTACATTTATTTCATCATATAGTTCTGGTAATTTTAAAGAATATAAAAAACATACATATCTAAGCAATTTTAAAAGTATTTCAGTGCACCTAGTCCCTTCAACTTACAAGGAAGTAAAAACTGCAATAAGGGCAATCAATGTAACATAATTAGATCAAGACAAGATTGTTTATTACTTACTTGATGTTTCTAACAACTCTTGATGCAAAGAGTAGGGAATTAATGGATCTGGCAGATCTGCAAAAAAAGCTTTAAGAGCCCCAGCCACCGCATTTACTGTTACTCCCATAGACTCTAGACTGATATTATGATCTGTAAAACAAAATTAAAACAGCAATGTAAGTAAAACCTACAGCTATCATTCCTCATAGTATTTTATGAAAACAAGAATTTATTCAAAACACTGAAAATGAAAATATTCCCAAACATTTGTTAAAAAAAAATGTATGAAAAGGTGAACCTACAGATAAGCTGCCACCATTTTGACCCACAAGAAATCAAATATAAGAAAATCTGACAGTACAAGACAACAGTAGAAGATCAGAAAAATAAAGTTGTTTAATTCAGACTTAAATGCTTTTCTATTTGCCATTGACTGGCTTCTGAATAATCAATTTGGCCCAATAGTAAGTTTTAAACTCCACTTCCCAAAGTTTTGTTAAAAACTGGTACAGGGCACAGCAATTGTTCTTTTAAAAAAGGATAATGAAACATACCAGTGACCACACATGGCCACATAATCTACCACTAGATTCCCAAGTAACAGAAGCTTCATGTTTTATAACTAGAAGACCTTTTTTTAATTTAAATTTATAATAATAAAGTCATGCTAGATAATTTTTAAACCAAGGCCAGAAGTAGAAGCACTGTAGGCAACAGAACTTCAAGTACTTAAAAACTGAAATTTTGAAAATGCTAAGTTCACTTTTGAAAAGTTCATTCCACCTGAAATTCTGGAATATCCTTTAATAAGATGACAGAAAAAAATCTAGCATTATACTCAGATTATCTGAAACATCATAGTGAGGCATAGAAAATTAGTACATTTATTTTCCTTACCAACTAGGAGGAATTTTAGTATTTTTCACAGGCTCAACTTCCCAATAAATGTTGAAAGTGCAACCCTTTTACATTGCACTATGATAAATCCATGGAGAATTCAAGCTCTGTTTTGGCTTTAAATAATGAAGTCTATCATTACCTTGATCAAACTGTTTCTGAATGTTGTCTTGATCTGTTTTATTCCCACTAACACGGTATAGGCCTTCAGTACATAATCCTTAGGAGGAGAGGAAAAAAAAATATTCAAAAAAAGTTTAAAAAGTAAAAGAGTCAGTCATAATTACTAATTAATGATTCAGAAACCAGAAGTAGGAATACAAATCTTAACTCCCTAAAAAGTAACATGTTAACCTATAGTAACACAGGACTACCAAAACCCAAAATGCCAGTCGTCTATTGAGTCCACTATTCCATTTAACATGAATCAGAGGAATGATTCTGTATGATAACAAGAACCTGACCAGAGGCATTTGTGGAATAATTTACCCAAAATGATTTTCTTCCTGATCTCTACTAGACTGTTGTTATTTGCATCTTTTTTTAACCATCAAAAACTGTAATTCTGGTGTTTGGTATCAACAGAACTTGAGATTTTTAAAAACCGTCTTCATAATTTGGGCTTAACAACTTATTACGGCAAGCAGTAACACACTAATAAAATACTCTGCAGAAAAATCAAGCATGTGTAATTGATTCCTGATTTTTTTAATTTCATGGTGTAACACACTCCTGTATGAGGCAAGGGCTTAATCTTCTAACATACTTTCCCTTTTACCATTTATATTTTATTTTATTTCTCCTCACTTCTCTTCTAAGGTAAATTATCACAAAGTTTACAAGTCCTTCTCAGTGGAAGAGGGGAAAAGGAGAAGGATGTTAGAAGTAGAGGTTCTCCAGGCTTCTCATTATTACTTTGTTTTACTATGCATTATGGAGTTGTTCTAGGTAAACAATATTAAAAAATACATCTTTATTATGCACACACACACACACACACACTTGCTCACTCCACTCCTGCGATTACGCTTCCTATCACATTGCCATCTTTTTTGCCCACAGCTACTCACTGAATGAAAGCGTCCACCCTGCTAATCACACCATTACCCAAGATCTTTTTCTTTGTTAATTAGAACCCATTAAGGAATACAAGCAGTTCCATAATCCTCCAAGTTACCTTTATGGGTGCAATACTATCTATATGCTAGACCTCCGTAATAGTACATGGTTCTATTTAAAAATCACAAGGTTTAGAGCTTTATGAAATCTCTTGGCTTTTTATCATCACAGCCCAGTAATTGAATGCATTTTAGATTACCAGATCAGTACATAACTCCCCTGTCACACCACAGTCACCAAGCGTGCCTTCTAAGTTACCAAGAAACACCAGGAATCCTACTACAATGCTGAAAGTACAAAAAGCACTTAACTGCTTCATACTGCTGGGAAATTTATACCAATTAATTTGACATCAACTCTTCTAGATCAATTCTTCCTTCTTAATGCCTCGACAATTCACATGTTTCTCTACTGGCTGCATCAAGGCTCTTTCAGCAAGCTTTTCTTCAATAGATTTTTATACCTTCCACTTAGCTTTCTGAATCCATAGCCAAGAGTTTTCTCTTGTAAATACACACGTAAACAGTCCTTTCAAAAAAACTACACTTCATTCACTGATGTCCTCAAAAAGCACCAGGAGGTATAATTTGGTGGCACAGGGCAAAATGTGGTTTCAATGGTTTACACAGCTGGAAGGGGTTTCAAACCTGTCTTCAAAAGAATGCCCCAAATGTGCTACATGCCATCACAGACAGAACACTTTGCATTCCAGTTCCAGAAGTTGTAAATGAAGAAATACAACAAATCACTGATAGGTAAGAACAAGCTAGGATTGAGATTCATTTTGTTTAGTATGGGAGAATTCTTAGCTGGAGACCCTACAGCCCCAGGGTATTCTGTGTTTTACCCAACTACTATTCAATTTCTTTCTGCACAAAAAGAACTGAATGTGCTCCAATAGCATTTTCCGGGAAGTCTGATCCAGTCACTGTTTAGTAGGAGTGTTTAAACCTTGAATACTTGAACTGGGCTGCTCTGGAGACAGAGATGCTCCATTGCAGTATCTGGACTTCCCCCCCCGCCCCCCCCCCATTTTATCGTGTAGTAGACACCACTTTGCTCAGACCAGTACAGCTCTGAGAAACATAGAAAGACGCTTACAGTAATTCAGCAAATATTCAGGTTAAACAAGGGGATGCCTACTGAGTTTAGGCATCTTCCAAAAACAGTTTGGTGCTGCAATTCTGGATTAAGCTAACTAAATCTGTCTCTTAAATTCCTCAAGCAAAAATATTTTTTCTTGCTTGTATATTCTAGAAAGTAACACTTCATGGAACGGTCGGTCAACTATCATTATACTGTTTCTCTAAGGCACACGAGACGAGTTTAATCTGTTTGTGTGCATACACATAGCTAGAAGTCTGAAAGTATAATTTTTAAGTAAATTCAATTCTCTCTGGTGTTCTTTTTATTATCCAACCAGGTCTCTGCAATGCTTGTTACATCAAGATCTTCCTCAAGTATAAGACACTCTAAGTCACTGGTTTTACCTTTTAAACTTCTTGCGTATCTATAATATATATCTGTTCTGAGAGAAAGAGAACATGCAATATTTATTTTTTCTTGACAGCTTTTTAAAAATTCAGTTCCTTCATCTGCAAGACCGTTGATTTTTCCAGAATTCTTATCTATGTTCTTATCCTGCTTCCCTTCTGGTCCAGCCATAATTTTCAAGATATGCTCACACAATGGCTGTTGTAATACTATATATCAGAATCATCCACTTTATTTGCATCTCTGTCCTGCTCCCTTTACTACACCTGTAGGTTTAAACAGTTAGATCCTCCTTATTTCACGTCACAACAGCCTACATTTACTTCAAGACAGACCTCATCTCCTTTGTCCAGACTACTCCTTTCTCAAAGTACCTCCCAGTGCCTAACAAAGTCTCTTCTTGGGCCTTCTTTTGTGCTGTTAGTTGGGATCAGGGTTTCATGCCATCTAACTGGAACTTCACATGGGGTTCAAAGCATTTCAAAGAAAATGAGCAAGGTGGATCTGCAACTATATGTATACGTAGTTTGTAGGACACTTCCATTCTTAGGCACCAACATATTTCACAACTACTGGTTCCTCCATAGAACACACTAACTTCAGCACAAGGGCAGACGAAAATCTACCTGGTACAATATCCACTTTCCACACACAGTAAGTAGTATATGCTTGAGGACTGAGTGATAAGGGGAAAAAGGATGTAAGGAATGAGAGCGAGTGATACATCTTCACTCTTTTAATCCTTTTTGCTTCCTTGATAGCAAGTACTGAGTGTTGAAGTTTTCAGACAGCCGTCTAGGATGATTTTAAAGCCTTTTCCTGAGTGACAACAGCTACACTAATACTTAACCTGCTGAAAAGTCACACAGCATCTGCCAACTTGACATCTGCAGCCAGGTTGCACTATCACTGCTCCATCTACTTTTCTGAATACATGCCACCTAGTCACAGCAAGTTTGTCTACCCCCAGTTTAACTCCTTCGCCTACAGTGACCAATTGAACTTTTCAGGAATCATTCTCCACTACAATAGCTGAGACTGTCATTCCCATACTTAGCTTTGTAAATTTTGTGATCTATATCATTCTATAATTTTACTCCACAGACTGACCTGGCATACCTCTTCTCAAATCCCTATGCTACCCAGACTATACAAGACTAAAGGGAGCGCCACCTTACTGATCCAGAATGGTAATTTCTATGCACGGCTAGAATATATGCAATTACAGAGCACAGAAACCAAACTCTTTACAAGTAAGAGTCTAGCACTAAATTTACTTATAAAATACATGTTAAAATTCTACATTTAATCTGCTTTTATCTGTGCATATGGACACTGACATTTAAAGATCCATGACACTCAATTCACACATTGAAATCCAGAAACAAAAAATAAGTGTCTTACTGCTTCCTGTAATAAAATAATTTATAGAATAGTGGATGTTCAGTAAAAAGTAAGAAGGGTAAGAAAATAAGCAGTACTTTTAGAAAGACTCAAAAAAAATAGGAAGCTCTCATCCAATGCTGAATTAATGTTTCTATAATTTACATTAACCAATTATTAAACAAGCACTCGATCGTTTTATGAAGTGCCACTCAATCATGGCCTGCTCATTTTGAAAAAAGAATAACAGACTTCAAGTAATATGACATGACAAACATGCCTAGGAAATGGTAAATGCATTCTTTACTTCATTAAAAATGGGTGACATCTGAAGATATTCTAATTTTCCAGACATATTAGCTGTTTGGTCACTTTGGGCCTGGAGAAAGCTAGGGGAATAAAAGGAACCGTCTAAGCACCATAAGTACTCTGCAAAAGATATTGACATCTTGGTCCTATATGCATTGTTTAGGAATTCTTTACATAATTCCCATAATGTCTCCTTTGAAGAGATACCTTAATTAGCAGTACAGCTCAAGTGCACAACATGTGTTTATGAATATTTCAAAACATATTTGTTTACAGTTTTCAGATTCTCACACACTAATAAATTAACACGTGCTCCTCCTCCATCCGTCTGGTAGTCAGTTTTCCATTAGGAGAAACAACTGATGCCTGTTTTCCCCTCCTCTCTAGATTGGACAGGTTTTCATCCCTGTTGCTTAATTCCAAAGTTGCAAAACACAAACTGGTGTACAGTTTCCTAACTGCTAAAACCTATTCTATGCCAATATTGAAGTGATCACAGAA